TATTGAATATTAAGTATGGTCGACATTATGCAGCTTTCAAAATTTCTGAATAATGATTTTTTAATGTCGTAGTAATATGCAAGTTCAGTACTAATTCTACCATTTGCCACCTTTGATATCAGTTCTGTTTTTTATAGCAATTAGGAAATTTTAACGATTAATTTGTTTCGTCTTTCAATTATATTATAACTTTCTTATTTTCATTTTTAAATTTCAGGATCTAAAATTTCAAAGAAAAAAAAAACAAACTTGAGCTTAATTTGTTTTAAGTTCTTTAATTCAATTTTATACAGGGAATGTCTTTCATTCGCAAATATTTGCGAGCGTTGAGCGATCATCCAACAAAACCTGCAGCTGATGATGTTTCACTCCGAAAATTTACGAATCAATTTTTGCGTAAAGATGGTGTATTTATGCTTCGAATGATATCAACTCATGCCGGTGAATTAATGAGCAGTGAATTAGTTCTTGCTTTATGGCAAGTAAGGGTTATATTGGCAAGATAAAGTTATTTGTCAAGAACATTTCAATGGTCCTAAATCAAATCTATTAATTAAATTTAATTTAATTTGCAAATTTTGCATTTTAGTTCAAGCTTAAAGATTTCGATTTCTCACTGAAGTGATCTTATTTTGTAAAATTGATATTGTTATCAAGGAATTGTCGAAAAGCTAAACTTTCCAAGTCATATGTTCCCCTTGTGACAACTGAAAAATTTCAAGTTTCTAGCCAAAATAGTTTCAAATTATCCAAACAGTATTGGCCTTTTAAACAAATAGAAACATTCGTAAGCAGATGAATGTTAGCATTTGCAAATAATTTAGGATTTTAATAATATCGATCGTTCGTCTGCTCAATTTTGGGATGCTGAACATGGTGCTGGGACACTGAACGCTTAATTAATTTAAAGTGATCTTAAGAATGCTAAGGTTTGCTTATTTATTCGTTGTTATAATCCAGAAGACTGCTTGTATTTGAAAATTTTAGCTCAAATTCTGAAAAAAAAATGATCCATAAAATTTCATTATAAATTACTGTTCTCTTGCACTGAAGAGAAAAGTAAGAGAGAAAGAATTGTTTATCCAGTTCTTTGTTTTTCATTTTTTCTATTTTGGAGCTATTTCAACAAAAAAGTTTTCTCCTCAAAACAAACATTTTTGATTTTGATGATAAAAAAAAAAGCAGAAATCGTAAAATTCCCAGGAAAATTGTCTCTTTTCAACTGCTTTCGTTGTTCTTAATGATTAATAAGGTTCCCAGCGGGAATTCTCCATTTTTATTCATCTTAAACCAGAATACTTCTTTTTTTTTTTTTAATTTCAGCAAAACATTGTGTTTTTTCAAACTTAACAACTACTTCATCATCTTATCATGGTTCCTTTTTTAATTATATACTTTTTTAATCTTTGTTTTTTTTTTTTTTATCTTTTTTTCTATCTTACTAATTCGGCTAATTAAGCTTTGTAATTTCTAACGTTGTTGAGGAATTTCATTATTCAGTTCAGGAAATCTTGAGTAAATTATTTAAATAAAATCGAATTTTTCATTGTATTCCAATTTACCGTTTTGCTTCAGGTTTATTACAAAATTTTATTTTATTTTAGCTGGCATTCTGGATCAATATTTATTTCGCTAGAATCAGTGGTACGATCAATTTATATATTCTATAACATGAGGAAAAATAACATTTCAAAAGTTTTGCTACTGCAATAATAGTTATAAACAATGTCAATAATTGATAATACTACTAATAATAATAGTAATAATAATGATATTAATAGTAGTAGTAATAATAATAGTCAATAATAATAGTAGTAGTAGTAAACAATAATAATAATAATAAATTAATTAATAACAATAATAATAAAAACACTAATAGTTGTTCCATTACAATAACCACTGCTATTTTACAATTGCTATTATTTTTGCTAAATTTCTAACACTTTATTCAATAATTAGGTTCACTGTTGTAGTTTTTTCTGTTCATCAAAGATTGCTGTTCTTTAACAATTGCAAAAATTTTTTAAGCTCAAATTTAGCACACTGCCAGATCTCTTGTTTTGAATTGTACAGTGCTGTTCTCAATATGTAATCCTCATGATATTTAGCTTTCACTTAATTTAAAGCAAATATACAATCTAGTCTTTTGATACTGCCTAAAATGAAATTTACTGATTTGAGAACAAAAAAATCAACGATAGATAAGATTACTCTTGATGACAGCATAAAATTTCAAGGCATTTTCTGTACTTATTTATTATCCTTCTACAAGTTAATTTCTATGAGCTTTGATGTAACTTATTTTTTCAAGATTAAATAAGCTTGCAGATACTACCCATTTAACACTGCAGTTTAAGAATAGCAATATCTTTTGGCTATCACTCTTTTAAAAATGTAATATTAGAATTTGTTTGGGATAAAAATTATCTAAATGTAAAGTAAGGTATCGAGTAATTAAACCTAGCTGAGATTAAGTTTCGAGCATATAAAACAAAAGAATGAATTGTGCTATTTATATGATAATAATAGAATTTTAAAGGGAATGCTTTTTTGTTTTTGTTTTTTTTGTTTGTTTTTTTTTTTTTTTTTGATGGGAGAAGTGATTTGCACAGATTAAAGTTCGATCTTGATGTCACCCTTCCTTTGCACTTCCCGTTCTGTAGGACTGGGAATTAATTTGTAGCAGAGAGCGTATTTTTACTAAAAATTCTTTCATACATTTCTATACCTGATGCTGTCACTTGCCTTTGATAATTCAATGTTGCATGATTCGATAAATGATCTTATGATGAACATAATCATTGCTATAAAATATTTTTAGAATATGAGTTTTTCTTTTTCCTTTTTTTTTAGAAAATAACTGCAAATTTCTCTTGAACTCCTAGAAAACTGTCAGAATGCAGCAGCTTATATAGTTATTAAAATTTATTAAATGAATCTCGAGAAAACAAAGTTTCATAATTAACAAAATATTTGAAAACAAAGAAGACACAAAAAGACATTACAATCACCCGTAAAAAATTTTGCACAGCGTTCCATCATTACTATTAAATTGAACGTAAATAAAATTTATGCCCTGTAATGGTAACCATAATGACTGTGATAACGATAATGATGATGATGATAATAATAATAATTTCTAAATAAATAATCGACGAAGGGTAACAAGAAAAGAATTCAATAACTAATACTAATGGAATTATTTATATATATTCGGTGTGCTTAATGTTTTTCGAGAATCTCGAGAAATGGCCTTATTATATTTATTTCTTAATTTCGTGCTTCAGACAATGTTTAATTCATTCAGTGCAGACTTGTAACAAATTTTCAAAAAAATATATATAGTGACCGATTTAGTACAAATTAAGAAATAAGGACATTTCAGAATACAGGAAATGGAACGATAAATTGCATTAAATAATAAAAATAATAGAAATTATTGCAAGAGACATAAAATTTTCAAAGAATAGTTAACATGCAGAATGAAACAAGCAATTAAATGCAAAGTAAAGATATCATTTCTGTTTGGCTAATATAGGAACTATTATTTTAGAGTGATTATAAGCAAAAAGTTGGGTCAGTAGTAGCATATATTTTAATTAAAGTAATGGAATATATTTTAAACTTAAGAATTTATTATTTATGTGTCTTTTTTTTCCTACAAATCGTCTTAATTCTGAATTTTATTAGTGAAGCCACAATTTGACTTTAACTTTTGATTTGAGCACATCGACTAACAGAAAAGAATTGGAAATAACAAATTAAGGAATGAAAAATTATGTTAACATATTACCGATTCTAAACTCTGAACAATTCAATTTTATACACTTTTCCTTCAGAAACACTGCAGAAAAAATAAGGCAACGGCAAAAAATATACGAAAGAATGCACATACAACAAACTTTTTCCTTTCAAAAATTTCTTTCTTTGTGAGTCACTATAATTTGTTTTAATTTACTTAAAAATGTTAAAATTCAAAAACTCGTTTTAAATAAAATAAAAAAAGCAATTTGCAGATGGGTTACAAGCTATCATTAATTTTTCATCGCTTATTGTAAAATTAATTTCCTGAATTAAAAAAAGAGAAACAAACAGATGTATTTAAAACTTGACATAGGCAAGTAAGTCGCTGAAAATTTTGAAATTTATGGAAGTGAGGCGATCATAGCATATGAAACATGAGGTTGAATACGAACTGTATATACACATATATACAATCATACTACTTAATGAAAAGGATCACCAGTAAAGTAAAGCAAATCATTTGTTGAGCTTTTCGGACAGTCACATTATTTTCTTTTCATATTTCATACAATGTTTACAGGAAGAAAGAAATAAACAAAAGCAAAATTACTTCTGTTGTTCGGTCGATTACTTTGAGCATTTCAGTTGGTTTTGTCTTTTCATCATTGTTTTCCACACTATTTTAACACTAATTATTATTATTATTATTGTACTTATTAATATTATTGTTATTATTGTCCTTATTAATATTATTGTTATTAACATTAATAGCATTCTTATTATTGTTATTAATATTAATAGCATTCTTATTATTATTGTTGTTATTATTGTTATCATTATTGTTTTTATTATTAATATTATTGTTACCATTCTTACTATTATTATTATTGTTATCATTATTGTTGTTATTATTAATATTATTGTCGTCATTCTTATCGTTATTATTGTTTTTTTTATTATCATTGTTATTATTATTATTGTTATTATTATTATTATTGCTTTCATCATCCTCCCATGTCTCTTCACCGCCAACCAAAGGCATTTCCTAAAATACAATGAAAAAGGACATCGAAAGATATGTTTCACTTAAATATTTTTTATAATATCTGCTCCGACTAAGCAATAATTCCACACTTTTTTATCCCACATTTCAAAAAATATTGCTCTCTTAACCTGTAATTTAAAAGTTTATTAAGCACTTAGAGCCCTCATTATCTGAACAAACTTAATTTAGAAAAATTAGTTTGAAATTGAATTCATATATTTAAAATAGAAATTAAACAAACATTATTATGATACTCTGCCATTATGACGCCTTCAGGACCTACGGAATTTTCACGGACGCATTTATCGATGTAAACCATAACATTGTGCAATCTCCTTTCCATGGCAGGATAATGCTTATATGCTAATATTGGTGCCAAGGGATCCTTCGACATCGACCTTGAAATAAATGTGAAATCAATGAATTTGAGAAGCTTTTAATGAATTTGAGAAAAAAATAGCAAAACGAAAAATTAATTTACTGATGAAGCGCTTTTGTTAGTGAGATGGGCTCACGATAGTATTTCAATAGTGTAAAGAAAGTTGAAGATCTCAGTACACAACACTGCTTTAGAGGTAACAATATATCATCGTCATCAAAATCCGTCCTGCCAAATCTGCAATAACAGAATTTGTGCACTATTTTACATTGGAATGAAAATTTTAATGCAACGTGGAAGATTTTACTATTTGAATTTTGAACTATTCAGTGAAATTTACTGAGTAAATTACTTACGCTCTTCCATTATCCAAATGAATTGCATAAGACGGAGCATTCGTAAAAATAGAAAATGCTTCATAATGATGTCGATCTTGATTGCCTATAAATCAATGTATCTTGTACACTAATCATTGATCTTTTCACTTCAAAATCTTACTGGCTTTTTAGAATTTTAGGATTATTCAAGTTTATAAACTGTATCGAATCAACCAACCAATCAGATAATCCATCACGTGGAAGTCAACAAGATCAAGTAACGTTCGACCGTGAGCATAACGTTTTGCTGTTTTTACGTTTTCTTGACAATAGTCCATATTTCGTTGCCATTCAGCTATTTGGTTCTTCTTCGAATATGTTCTGTATAAAAACACAATTTACAGCAAAAAAAAAAAGGAAGAAAGCAATATCTTGTTCATGATAATTAATTGAATTCAAAAGGTAATTCAATTTTTTCCTTTCAGCTGAATTTTGAAATGCTTAAAAATATACTCTGAAGAATTATGTGAAAAGAAATAATAACGTCCTGACCTTCTGTAAGGTGATCTATTATGCTTCCTGGGGACACTATTTTCATCTGGAAGGAATACTTGTACTGACCCTTCCCTAGTATCTGGAGTACCACAAATGGCATGAGATGTGTCACAGTAATAATCGCATTTGCTCACAAAGCATAAATTTTTGGCTGAAAATGATGGAAGCATTTGAAATGGCTAAAAAACAATTTGAAAAAGTATTTTAAAATAAATTTTTTATCATATCAACCTTATCAACTCGTCATTAATGATTAGTGAAATATTTATGCTAAAAAACTTGTTTAATGCCTAGTCATATCTACAGGATCAGTGCCAAAATAACAATCTTTTCGGAAAGCTTAAAATTCAAATGACGATATCATTGATAAATTAGCATAATCTGCAACCTGCAAAAAGTGTAGGATCAACTAAATTCATTCCCCGCAATTTGCATCGCCGACAAGAAAATAACGCCAAGCAAAAAAAAAAACAGACCTGGTGAAATGAAAAATGTCTTAGCCAAACGTTTTTCGGCTTTTTCACGTAAATCAGACGTTAAATTGACAATACGACCAACAGTTGGTACAGCACGTCGAAAGCCAAGTATTCTAAATATGAATTCATTTAAATTTGGGACATACATATCAATATGATAGAGAAAAAGAGAGAAATAGATAGGAGGTGAAGAGGACAGAGAACAAACAAAGCAACTACTCTTTGATAATGCGAGAATTCAAAAAACGATTTAATTTTCAAACATTAATCACATTATATATTAATTTAGTGGTTTTTTTTTTTGCAATTTGACAGCTCGATGACATACTTGTCCATATGAAATGTTGCAATTTCAGCATTATGACGTTCGAAATCGTTGAAGTAAAAGTGATTCGGATCGGATTCATAATCACGGCCGAATCTGAAATTACGAATTTCTCTTTACCATATTTCTCATTTCAGTCTTTTCTATTCTAAATTTTTCTCAATTTGTAGTAATTCTCACTATTCTGTGTTTTCTAAAATTTTTCAAAATTTATTACACTCCATTTGCGCAAATAGGAACCAAAAACAAAAAAGTTTAGACTTAAAAATAAACTTAAACATTTATATTGATTTTTCATGTCTCAAATATGTTTTGTATTAAAAGAAAGTGGTTGATTCAAATAATTAAGTAGCAATTGACGTGATTAATTTAATACGATTAATTATAACTAATTAATAATTCAGTGCAAAACATATGCAAGTGACAGTGAATTTCTCTTTATGACATTAATAATTGAAGTGGCCAAAATATTTCTTTTTTTGTTTCATTGATCGTTCAAAGTTTTGATTGTTAAATGACTTTGATAATTGTATACACAGTAGCTTTCAGCTTTCTCAGCTCTAATTTTAATCGAAAATTCATTGGAATTTGTTTTTTATCTTATGCTTAACCGAATCTTAGCAGACATTTCTTCTCCTCCTTCCTCTTCTTTCCCATTTCAATAATACATGGCCACTCATTTGGTAGGTTGAAACTTAAATTTATAAAATTAAAAAAAAGTTAAACTTGAAACTTAAAATTCTTCTACTCTTTGATAATGAGAGAATTCAAAAAAAAAAAAAAAAACATTTAAAATTCCAGATATTAATCACATCAAAGATATTAATTTAGCATTTTTTTTCAGTTTGGCATCTTGATGACGAGTTAAATTTATGGTTTAAAAAATCATATATATGTTCAAATGTGCAATAAAACATGTTTATGACGAAAAGCGCAATAAAATTTGAACTATCAAAAATAAAGAAGAAAACATACCGCATAGGTTTAAAAACCGCCTGCTGGTCATTTTCAAATGTGAAGATAAGCTTAACTTGTGTTCCACCATCCATAATAGCTACAGATTTCAATGGTAATTTGGTCAAATCATTTAACAAATTGTCTACAACCTGCAGATGTAAACGAAAAAAAAAAAAAAGATGAAATTATTTTTTAATTTAGATTTATTGAACGTTAACAAAATAAGAGTAAACTGTTCTGAGCAATTTAGCATCGTTATTTTTTCAGATAAATATTCATCGTATAAAGGAATCTTACATTCCCACTCCTTAATGAATATGAATGCTCGCCATATAATCATCTTTCTCTTTCGACTATCATAGAGTAATGTCTAACTCTACCTATTAATTATATCGAAGGAATGTCATCAATCATTACAGCCAGAATTGTTTCAATGCAGAATAATTATGATTATTTAAAAATTAATGGTAAAAGTTACGAGAAAGTTATTATCACTCAAACTGATAACAATGCAATCAAAGCTATAATATTATCTCTTACACTGATAACAATGTAATCAAAGTTTAATGCATACTTCTTCATCCCTGTATACATCACAACTGCCAATGTCCGCATAAAATTTCTCCCATGAATCTCTTTCCGGTACAATTTTTCTACAAATAATTCATTATTAATATACTATAAATTCTCCGAAAATCAATTGACTAATCGTTTTTTGGCAATTAAAAAAAAGGAAAATTATTTACTAATTAATTTCAAAAAGCAATTAGTTTGCTTAATTTCAATTGTTTACAAGTATCACTTTTAGTATTTACCCATTCTTGTTTTTCCAAAACTGTCGCAAAGTTTCGTTATTCGGACATTCTTTTGTAATCATTTCCGAAATATTTAAATGAAATAAATATTGACCTAGCTGTTTCGCCAATGTCCAATTGATATGTGGTACTGAAATTTTCTTTCTTTTGGCATCATAATTTATGGTAGGAGATGTAATCCATTCTGAACAAGAATTCGTTTTTTTTTTTTTTTGAGAATCAAAGAGAGAAGTTGAAAATTTCTTCACTGTTAATTTTTTCGAGGTTTTTAACTTTTTTTTTCTTTTTTCTGCAGTCACTAATTTTCATGACCTTTTTATGACCTGTTTGATTAAAGTTCAAAAAAAAAAAAAAAAAAAAAAGGAAAACGAAAGGTTTTTATACCAAAAAAACGAGAAACATCGCTATCTTTAGTCATATACTTATAAATATTTTGTTCTTGCACATAAGCGACATGTGGAATTGGTCGTTGAAAATTTAGTTTTTGATGTCTTTTTAACCATTCTGAAATAATTGTTTTACTGAACATATTCAAAACTTATTGAAAATATGAAATTTCAGTAAATAACTGATAAAATTTGTGTGTTTATTGTCAATTATAACGATTCCAGTGGGAAAAACTGATAACGAAATTATAAGATTTTTAAATTCATTTTCATTAAATCGACTTATCATGAATTAAGAAATAGTATCAGGCAAAGATTTGCAGGTATCTGCAATTCTCTCCAACAATTTTTATCGTATCGCAATGATTATCTTACCGGAACTTTCATCTTTCCGTATCACTGATAACAAGATGATAGTGGTAAAAAATGTGACACAAACAATAAATGCTAATTTTCGAATATATATACGCATGATGTTGTCGTTTCAATTGAAATCGTTGCAGATGTTAATAAAACTGTTACAGTTGAAGCCGCTGTTATCGATGGTTGTTGTATTGTTTTTGACTGTATCCCACAATTTTTGCTCATTGCAAAGTGTCATCTGTGTGTAGGTACGAGCACGGTAGAGAATTTGATCTACCGATTCTCGATTAAGATCAAAATTATACTGCAAATGATTCAGTTATGTAAAAACATTGTTGTCACATTTTCTGCTAATTAATGATTTATCTCCCAACCAGATGTGTTGAAGGGAATGTTAATGTATTTTTTTTTTAACTTACTACTTTCACAATTTGTTGCTGAAATGTTTTTTTTTTTTTTTTTTATTACCTAAGTCTGATTATGATGTAAGCGAATAAAGTCGAAGTGTTATGAAGTTAAAAAAAAAAAAAAATCACATCAAAAATGAATGTGAAAATGTAAATCTTGCAGAATAGCAATAACGAAGAAACTTTAGCTTATTTGTAATGTCTTTCTTTTTTTTTTTTTCCTTCATTCAATTATTCAAAGCTAATGGTTTTGTACAAGCTAAAATACTAGTGAAATTGTGAAATGGTGCACATTTTTTGGGTAGATATTGATACAAATGAATCAATGATCTATTTTATGATTGCATATTATATTTGATATGCAGGAGTATTTCACAAAACTAATTACGTATTTCAGATTAATTCATCAAATTTTTCAAAAAACAAAAAAAAAAAAATCTTTTTGAAAAAGAGAAAACAGCAAACTATAAATGATTGAATGTGAAAAAGAACTAGAAATGAACACTAAATGAGTTAAAATTGTTAAGGATAGACGGTTGACAAGAACGGCTAACGGTATTTTGTATGTGTGTATGTAATGTATATGTCTGTCTGTATGTGTATGTTATTATTACCTGGTACACCTTAACCCGTCCTCTACCCCGCCATCTCCATTGATAGAGATTTCCAATGTAAATACACGGAAAACTGAAGACAGCCACACGCATCTATCTGTTCACCGAACAAAAAACATTAAAGTACATTGTTGTTATTGTTTACCATCTTAAAGTTCCGGTATTAATTTCCTTGTTAAATTTAACTATTCTTGTAAAGATATATACAAATATCATTTTGTTTACGTCTACCTATATTCTTCATTCTTCACTCTTTTCTCATTTTCATTATTGGACAATCGTTCTTAATAACATTTTGTGCGTAAGATATGGCGGAGCAGTGAAGATTACTTCAGAATGTGTATTTTAGCAATTTAAATTGATGGCTGAAGAATGAGATGATGGCTTGATAACGCATAGTTTTTGGTTCCATTGAGTAATTGTCAGATAAATGAGAATCTTTAGCAATTTATTAGATTTTTCCGGGCATGCAAATAAGTAAAAATGTAAACATGGATGTGAAAGAAGTTAGTGTAGTTTAGCTGTCGAAGGATTAATAAGTATTGTGGTGTTTCAGTAAATGACTTTTTGGAATATTAAAATCTGTGTGTGGTAATGTCATTTTTGAAATTTTAAAAAAAGATTGGTTTTGAATTTCATGAAATATATTTCAACGGTAAATTAGCAGGCCATTGAAATTAAATCATTTTTAGAGGAAATAAATCTCTCTCACTAGTTAATTACTGCTGAAAAATTTTTCATGCTAATGAGCTGATGGAATTTCACATCATTGTTTGTTCACCTGAAATCTTTTTGCTTTGTGCATATTTTCATTTGATTGTTGATCTGGATCAAATGTCATAATTTTGCTTGAACTGGTAAGAATAATCCTCTTAACTATTAATTTCGATCTTAATGATAACAGTCACCGTACAATATGCACCCTGAGGGTTTACTAGTAATAAAATGTAATTAGGAATTATGGTGAATCAATAAGAAGTCAGACGAGAAAAGAACTTATTTCTAGTAGAAGCAGTAAGAAACCTCAGAAATTAAATTTGGATGGATCAAAATTATTTGAAGAAAAAATATTTAAATTTGAAACAAAAAAAAAGTGAAAAAATTTCTTTTTAATAAAGCAATTTTTTTCTGATACACTTAAGAAATTTACTGTTTTTTTTTTGCATATTCCTTTGTATTGGGATTAATATAAGAAATCTGCAAAATTATGTCTATGAAGATGATAGACCAAAACGGTTTAGATTTTCCGCAAAAATAATTGCTCGAAAAGTTTCAAATATTATCAAAAAATGATCAATGGACTATTTCAGCCTTATATCTATACTGGCAAGTTTTTCTAAGCTCAAATTATTACTAACATTATATTAATATTAAGCTAAGGTGAGACAAACATTAATTTTGGTATTTAAAATTAATGGAAACCTTAGATGTGTCATCATCGAATGTGTAATCTTCGTGATATGATATGATAGCATAGACAATTACTGGATATAGAATGGTTGATGTAAATTTAATATTACAGATAGAATTAGTCAAATTTTTTTGTTGTGCCAGAATGAACCAGTTGCTTTGAAGATGAAAAGTGAGATATTGATGGAAAGATTATTGGGGCGATGATGATAATCGAAGAGACATGGATGCTGGACAATGATGATCAAAAACAAAAACAAGAAAAGTGAAACGAAAATTAAAGAAAAAAAAAAAAAAAGAAAGAAAACTAAACAAGCAGTTAAAACGCGAGACGAAAGGAAGGAAAAATGACGAAAAGAGCAATGAAGGAAAAAAGAAATTAGAAAGAAAAAATGAAAATAATAAAAAGTGGAACAGTTGGAATGATCGATGAAAATACAAATAAGAAATTAGCCGAATACTTCGTAAAATTGCTCGGTAATTTGAAGGAAATATTGTCATCCAATACAATCAGAATTGAATATATCTGATCGTTATAAACCAAAGAAACTGTAATTTTTTGGTATTTCAATATGACTGCACGACATGTGCTGCTAGTATCAAATAAAAATAAATTATTAATTCAGCGTCATTGTACTACCACTAATATCGGTCACTAATAATGGCTCCAATATGAAATTGTGTTTCTATATTATTGTTACATCCAACTTTTGAAAACAATTAACCATGAAAATAGCTGAACAAAAGTTTTTAAAATTCAATTCCAGAATCAGTCCAAATAAACAAAGTGAAGCAAAAGAAATGTATAATTTTCCAAGTGCAATTTTAAGTGTAATAATACCTAAATAGCCAGGTTTCAAACGATTGTTTATAGAAGCAACGTAATCAAACGTAATGTAAAAACAACAAAGAAATAACGGAACACGGCTAAAATACACGTGTACTAAATATGCTATTGTTCTTCTGAGATTATTCGAGTTAAAAAAAAAATTGAATTATTTTGCTCGAATGCAACAAACAAATTATGTATATCGTAAACATTTAAGTCTATGATAATATTGAACACTGAATTTCCTCATTTTTACACATGACAATATCTCTTAAACAGGTGGCATTTTAAATTTAATGTTAGAATTTAAAATGATAGTTTGGAATTACAGTTAAAATTTTATCAAATTATTTATAATAAACATTAAGTACCGTTCTGCACTTACCATTGATATCTTTCTAAAATGAAAAAATGAAAATTCAGCAATGTGTGATAAATAGAAACCCACTTTACTGTCAAATTTATGTGCATTGAAATACTTTCCATACTGAAAAAGATCATTTCAAAGCAAAATCTCTTAGATTGCTAATTGTGAGATAGCTATTAAAAATTAAAATAAATTTTTAGTAGGGAAAAAAAAGACGATTCTTTAAGAGTCAAAAATCCAAGTATTTTCACAGTGTGCAATGTTTAACTGATGAAATCAAAAATTTCTATTTAAATCGTTTCCTTCGAAATTTTATTTTTCGTCTAATAAGAAAAAAGAAAAAAAAAAATGCTTCTTTTTCTTCTGTTTCTATTACATCAAAGAATGAACAGATAACGACATTTGGAGTCATTCGAGAAAGTAACAATGTGAACTTCAAAAACGATAATGGAGAAAAAAATATTCGACTAAAGATTATCGTGGCAATGTGATGATAATGAAAATAGCATAGTGTTGATAATCGATGAATCATTGATTGCTAAACATATATTTCGTTGTCGTTATGGAATATTTCAGAGATGTTGCAAGTTAATATGACACCTTATTGATTTCAATTATTAAATATTGACAAAGAAATTTTTGAAATAAAAAAGCTGGCAAGAAAAAGGAAAAAAAAAAAGCTAACTATTGACAAATTTTGAAGATTTTCAAACAGAGATTATCGCATGTTAACAATTTTTTGCTATGCTCATTTATCAAACTTTATATTTGTTGTAATTTGAACGGAAATAAACAGTTGCTATTGCCATTTATTGCAAAGGTAAAAAATTTCTTGGTGGAACACAGGACAACATAACTCATTTAAAGTACAGTTTTAAAAAAAAAAAAAAAGATATAAAGAAAAACGCAGAATTTCTCTACAAAATTAATCACTAAAATTTTGAGATTAAAACAATATTTTGGCAAAAAAGAATACAACATTCTATTAACTTGTATGACAAGGGAAATACTAGAAAAAAATAAATAAAAGAAAATGGTTAGAATGTTCAATAATAGAATTTAAAAAGAAATAAGAGATGGAAGTGAACTGAATGTTACTGTAATTCAACAGCAATGAAATTTTGGTGATCAGAAAATATCTATTTGAAGAGCCCTCAGGAATTATCATTTCAGAGAAATGAATTAATTCTTTGGAACTTGATAATAAATATATATAGGTGAGAGGTATAAACAACAATCAAATCTTATTTACCAACTTAAATATTGTATTATTCTGTATAATTTATCATCTGAAATACTATATATTATTCTATATAAACAAGCAACCTGTTTCTTAATAAGATAACTAATATCAGTAAGAAATTTCATTTAATTTATTAAGTGATTACAAAAGATATTTTAGCTTGGATTATCAAATGAATGCATTTTTTTGCTTTAAATGATTTGTTTTTTTCGTTTTTTTTTTTTTTTCTAAAATTGTAA